ATACCCAATAATTTGCAGATTCAAAAATGCCTTTTTCACACAGGTCAAAGATTTTTTTCTAAAATCTCAGGAGTTTTCACAATTTCTTAAAGATTAAACTTTGTGAAAGAGAAAAATGACAGACCTCAATGATACCAAAGGTTACAATCAAATTACTTCCACAAAGTAAAAAATCTTTTATCTTTACAAGGATAAACCACTTTCATTGCAGAGAGTGGGAGGCATCAAAACCAGTTATGTTTGCCTTTGGATTTAAAAAGCAGAGACGGTTTTCGGAATTCAATCTCCATGAAAAATGTGACTACATATATATTCATATTTATTTAATATAGATGCATATAAATGAATACATTTTCTATGCTCCTCCTGCTCACCTATGAATAAAGTTTTAATAACAGGCTCTTTATGTGCGGCATTAATTTTGCCCTTCCTTCAAGACCACCAAAGAAACCAACTAAGATGCAAAATCCCTTCAGAGCATGCACCACAACTACATACCTAAGTGCAAATAAAACAAGCCTCAACAAAATAAAAATGAATCCAGCATCATCTACAAGCCCAACTTCAATACTGTAAAAAAAGCACCTATAAAAATCAGCCTTGGTAAAAACTGGGAAGGTTTGGACATTGGCCAAAAATTCAAAAGTTCAGCTGCTTATTCCAAATTTTATCTTCACTACCATAACTTTGGGAAGACTGTAACCTGCAAGGGTGGCCAATGGAGCAAGGTGCTCTAGCTTAGGTGGCTACACTTATTTATTTGGGTACTGTGAATAAAAGCAACCAACTCAGACTCTGCACCAAAATACATGTGCCCTTAAAAGGTGAGGTTTTTAACCCACTGGTCAAAAACGGCTGCAGAAGGACAGAGAGCTGTTTACCACTGTATCAGCTCTGAAAGTTGACTGCACATGAGAACTAACTACTCTCAACTATTTCACTGCTAAAGTTCTGATCACCAAAGTGTGGAAATAATCGTGATGCAATTGTCAAACATGAAAAATAAAAGAGTTTTTCCCTAAATGACCTGCTGCTGAGCCCACTCAAACCAAAGGTTATTTTATTTTGCCGTACCTTGGAATATGCAGTGTTGTGGTTCTTGATCTTCCAGTGGAAGAATCTGTCATGTTTTTCCTCTTGGGCTTGTGCCTGATTTACACAGTGAGGAGACAAGTGGGATGCTCATGGGTTTGAGGGAGACCTCAAGGTTGACCTCAACTGTTTGTTGTACAAGTTCAAGACCTACAGAAGCCATGTACCAGTTTTGCCACCATCCCAGATAAAGGAGCTCCTTCCATGGAGAAACTGACTGTCAAAGACCCTTTCCCAGGTGCTCAAAGCATTCCTTAATAATGATTTCCATTTATTTGTATTCTGTCTACACGAAAATCTGGTGAGCAGTGAAAATTTAGGACTGTGTTGATACCATTCCAAAACAGAAGAGTATAAATTCTGTTAATATTAAAGTAAGGGCAAGCTCACATGGAGAACACTAGACAGATCTTGTCTAGTTTGCTAAAATCGTTCAGTTGAAGCTACAACAAAATTTGTGCACGAGCAGCAGATTTTGGCACTGCTGATCAGCAGATACACAATGATCTGAGCAAAGGTGCTCAGGGGGAAACTCAGCTGGAGCCTCTCTCCTCTAAACACCTTCCTTCTCCTTCTGCAGTGATGTTTTAGATTTGTTTTAACCTGAGCTTGACACACAGTTGTTGCCATTTCATTTGCAGATCTGAAGAAATCGTGTCAGTACAAGAAAGGCAATAGTTTCTTTGGAGTTGTTTTTTTTAGTTTTGCAGATTAATTAAATACTTACGGAAATGAGAGCTAAACAGAACTGGTTTGAGCCAGTAATTGACAGCTGACTATCTGAATCTCACTACAGCTTCTGATATCTTACACATTCTCTTCTTCCAGGTCTTACAGGATGAGGATCAGCTACCACACTTCAGTGGCATTTTATTGGGTTCAGACCCAGTTCATCCACTAAAAATTAACATTTTACTTTATCTTTGTCAATACCCACCACAGTTTCTGCCCCATTTAAAAGAGGGCATTTATGTATTTCTCCTCTCATTTCTTTGTGTCCTGATGCACTCTGCAAAGGCAAGCTGGGAGGAGATAAAAGGTGAGAATGCTCTGGCACTGACAAAGCAGGATTTTTGTAATCAGTTCATCCCTCATGATGATTTCAGAAATCCAGCATAGTTTGGAGGAAGGAAGGTGTCCCACAGTCCATGTTATGGTGAAAACTTACCTTTTGTGTTTCTGCATGGGGACACCAAGTGCCCATGGCACATCTCAGACAGAAGTTTTCAAAGTCTTGAACTCTGGATTGGATCCAGGTTGAGTGCTTGCATTCTACCCTGTCAAGTTCCTCTCGTGGGTCCTGCACTGTACCTTTCTTGCCCAGCCTGCAGGGCTGGGTTATGTGCTTTCTGACACACCTACTACTTTCACTGTAGAGAGAAGATATTACAGAACTGAGAGTACCATTATGGATTTGAGAAATCCAGGTTTCTGAACCATGCCAGGTTTCCCAACCTGTGGCCCATCACTCAGCCTTTTTCCAGAAGAAATGGAACTAACAACAATTTATTTTAAAGTTGTGCTGTAGACATAAACATGGAAACACATGAGGCACTCAGATATTACAATCAAAGTCATACAAGGACCAAAGATTGACAGATCACATCTTCACCAAACCAGCAAGAAAAATTTGCAAAGCATCTGGATGAAAACAAGTCCAGAAATACACAGATATTGATATAAGATTCTTGTGCCAATATTTCTGCCTGATAGGAACTAAGATGAATTATCAATCACAAATATTGAAGAGAGCTATAAAATATAAAATGAAACTGTATTATTATAATTTTAGTTCTTTATTTTCCTTATTTATCTTTCCAACTCTCACTACAAATTTATCTTGTTTAAGAAAAATAGTATGTAAGTGTAGTGGAGCTTGATTACTGAGAATGGCTATTAATGTAGCATCTCAGAGCACTCTCTAGACAGTTGAAAGGCTTTTAACAGTAAAATATGAAGGTTTCCTTCAAATTTGCAGCCATATGCCTTCTAAAACTTTGTTTTAGTAGTTGCCAAGATTTCAGTGATTTATAGAAGCCAAAGTATCTGATTTTTGTCTCCCCACAAGAGATGAGAACTATTTTTTCTTATTATTTTGTAAAGGCAACATCATTATCTCAATCAAAAAAAGAAAAAAGTTGAGCTACATTAAAGATACAGCTTTCAAAATAATTTTTAAGGCATCTGGCCTTATTTAAACCATCAAATTTACATTCAATTCCTTCAGGGATGGCTTTGCTGCTTTGTGCTGGCTCCGTGCCCTCTGAATAAACCTGGATTTAATGCATGCCACCACTGCATTTCCCCGGCTGCACTGCTGCCTGGGGTAGATATATAGCAGAGGTATAAAAAGTAGAAGTATAAAAAGCCCAACTTTGGACATGATGATTCATTCTGACAAAAACACCCCTGACCCTGTAACTGTTAGGTCTCAGCTACAGTTGGACTTGTGACTGATGGCATTATCTATTTATTCTGAATTTACAATTAGAAGTGTTTATGTACCATGAAACATTCTCTGTGAGCTAGACAGGAAACTATAAACCATTTTATGAGATCTATACATGGCTGATGGCAGAACCTCAATGCATCACAAAGGTTCATCCACACCCAAGAAATGCCAAAACACGTTTTTTGTATTTCCCTCCTAAGTGAGATGGACACTTGACAAAGAGAAGCGTGCCCCAAAAACCCAGGCCAGCATATTTTGGAGGGTCCTGAGTGTCTCTGGAGAAATATCTGGAGCACTGTCAGCTTCTCCCAATTTCCAGACAAAGACAAAAGTCTTTTACAGGGTTTGCTTTTCTCAGAGGACAGACCAGGAAATGAGATGAAGCTGAACTAGAAATTTGTGTTGTGGCTCCCTCACCTCTGATGAGTTTTAAGCTGAACTTTTATCCCTGTTTTGTGGATGGCTGAAATAAAAACTGAAAAAAACAAGTAGCTTAACCACAGAGCAGGGCAGGCACTGAGCTGAGAGCAAAACTCACACTCCCTTAGATGATATACAATCATATTCCTACCGAAACTGAAGTTTTCCTTCTTCAGGTAACTAATGTGAAATAATCAACATTACCTGATTCAGTACCAATAAATCCTGGCTAAGAATAGAAATGATCTGCAAGTTGAAATTACAGAAGTGTAAAGCTAGTCATATGCAGCCATTAACTGAATCTCAAGCTGAATTTTATACATATAATAAAAATGTGTAGTACTGGCCTAAATAGACATCTCTGTTTCTGCAGCATGGGAAGTGGTGCTAAGAAACTCCAAGTGCAGCACAAGTATTACTGGTTGCATTTTTATTTTAAGTGGAGTTAAAGAAAACTCTAACGATGAGAAAAAAAGCAATTACTTCCCAAAATAAGAATAAACTGGGTTACACCAAGATAGGGAGGCACAACATACCTTGTTTGACTCTAAATTCAGCTCCCTGACTTGTGCAGAGAAGTGAAAGGTTATTATATGGGTTTACTGGGCAAACCCAGATTTTATAAATAATTGCCTGTCAGGCTGTTCAAGATAGACAAACACAGAGCAGACCAACAAAAACATGATCTGTCATATTTCTGAGAGAAATGTATGTTGAGTCTTCATTCTCTGGGACTTTAAGGAGACCAGTAAAAAATAAGTGCCAGTATTTTTCCTGCTTATGCATATTTTGAAATGTAAAATCTGGGAGAGAGACAGCAACAGAAGGAATTTAGATTCCAGTACCCAGTGCCTGAAATGGTTTCTTCTGTCTGTATCCCTGCAGATCGAAACCAAATACAATAAATGCTGGTGTTCTTTTAAAAAAGTCTGGATGTTTACAGCAAGCATATAATTTTCCATGATTAAGGATGCCAACAAAAATAAAGAGTGATGATAAAAAGAAAAGTTTAATCATATATTTCAAGAAGCACAAATGGAACATCAGAAAACTTCCCCCTCCCTCGTTTAATACATTGTACACATTACTTTTAGTCCTTTACACACAGAAAATTTCCAGAAAACAGAAGTGTAAGCAGATAAAAGATAAAAGCAATTTATGAATGGCAGCAATATTGGACATACGACGTTTACTTTTACAATACATTGGTTGCAAAGAGAATTTTTCCATTTATTTAAAAAATACACATATATTTAAAGTTTTTGCAAGCAGGTCCAAGAGAGCAGGACAACAAAACCACCTACAAACGACCACAAGAGGAGCACAGAGCAGAAGTGAAAAATTAAGACCTCACATACTAAGCACAGAGGAGGAGGATGGCTGCACTATATAAAATACTTCGCTTTCTCCTTTGATCCCTTGAGTGCTCTGTATTAACTTGAGGCTTAAGTTGAATTCCAAGCCTGAGCTCAGGGCAGATGAAGACCCCTGATGTGTGGATACCACAGGGACACCAGCAGGATGTGCCAGCAGATCCTGGTGAGGGGCTGAAGCAGGAGCCCTTTTCCCTGCTCAAGCATCATCGTGGTTAGCTCTATATTTGTACGGTTTTTACGGGAAGAAATGAATGTGCTTGTGAGGCCAGCAAAGGCTGGAGGAGCAAAGGGATGGGAACAAACACAGAGGCAGGGACTGAGATTTAAAAAAAAATCAAAAAAAAAATCTTGAAAACAAACAACGTTAGCTAAAATATATATTAAAAAAAACCCCAAAAAACGAAAAAGAGCTGGTTTCTTCTTTAAGCAAATCCAACAGTAATGCTGCCTTTGTCAACAACAGGGACAACATCTGCTTCCTGCAGCAAACGCTGAGCAAGTACACAACGTTAAGCCCTTGCCTAGAACCACTGAGACAGACACAGTTATTGAAACACTTTAGAATGTATTTTTCCAAATAGGGATCCAATCCAGTGCCAAGTCACTGCAAAGGCTTTCTTTGATTTTGGACAATGATGGCTCAAACCTTAGGAGATGCCAGTACTGAAAATTTGGGTGTGAGCACTTAGCCCATCTTTGGGTCTGCAAAAAGCCAAGTCTCTAACTGGTAATGTTTAGTTTACCTGAACTTTTTCTGAGTATTTTTGCATCCAAACTTGGTATGGCTGTCATCAAAATCCCCTCACTGGACTGAACTGGGTTATCCTCTATGAACAGATATTAATTGAGGGAAACAAGTGGAAATTAGTAGAAAATAGAGGGAAATAGTTTTTGTTTTTGTAAAAATTGCAAAGAAAACTACATAACCTTTATACAACCTAATGAACAACCCAGTCTATATCTGGCCTCTTCCTGCCCCATCCTGCTTTACAAAAAACATCTTTTGGAGAACATACAGACTTCCAGACACTTAAATAAAAATGACATGGCAGTCAGAAAGTCCCCTGCAAACTCCAGCATTGTCTGAGCTGCATTCTTGTCCACCTACACCCTATCCCAAACATCCTGCCATTAATTAGCTAAATGTTCCAGCTAGTAAACAAGAATAACGATTGAGGGGGCTGGAAAAAGAGACAGAGACAGCCAGCAGATAGTCACAACAAACCAGCCCACTCACTGGTACATGGAGACATTGGAGCTTGTATTTTTTTTCCTTCCATGGAGGGGAAAAGAAAATCACCTTAATATAATACTGTCTTTCCTGTTGCTGCAGCCACATCCACATCAGCAGGCGAGAAAAGTCATCCCATTCCTGCGGTAGGCACTCTGTCAGGGAAAGAGAAAATCTGCAGTGAATTATCACATCAGCTTCAACAAGGGAAGGAGGCCGAGAGAAAGGCAAGGCTTTCTTCCTGTTTTGTAGGCTATTCTGGCTGCAATCTAATAGTGCTCTTAATCTGAACATTTCTGGTGGGGAAGCTGTAAGCAACCACTTTGTCTATTAAAAAATCAGTGTGGTTAACAAGTGGTTAGTGACTCTATTTCAGGAGAGCAAGAGATAGGCAAAAATGTAACATCCTCCTTTGTTAACTGCCTGCAAAATAGAGGAGGCCAAAAATACACCATTATGCTGAACCTGTTTGTCCTTTATAAGCACTATTCACCATGTTCAAGAATAATTTCTAAATTGCCTGAATACTCTATAAATTGTTGAATAATTTCAGTTTTCCAAGCTTAATTTATAGTCTGAGTCTAAAGTTATGCAAACAGACACTGGTATAATCCCCACCACTCCAAACCCAAATTAATCTTAAAGACTCTCTGGTCAGTAGGAAATAATTTGATATCCCATATACTGTAACCTGGGATGATGTGTTTCCAATGGTAAAGAAGCACAGGAGTTAAGTGGCACTTGAGAAAATAATTTTAAAAGATCCTGTGACACTGACTGCCTAAAATACCTTTCATGCATTTTTAACAGCTTTTTCTGAATCAATATAGGAAACTATACCTTTTAATGTCACTGAAAACCCTATAATGTAAGGAGATATTCTCAGTTTAAAAATACTTTCTTTTTCTATTAACATTATCTTTAAAAAAGCAAAGAATTTTAAATAGTTTTGCTTTATTTGGTTCACCTTCAGCAGCCATCCTGTTTTAAAAACGAAAATGTAGTCATCTATTTCATTACAGTTAGTGCTTCATCAGATTTATTTTGTACCTCTTCAGTTGAAGCACGTAGGAAGTGCCATATATAACCACCATTTTTAGTGGCTCTACCAATTTCCTAATTAATTTCAGCCAGATCAATTTATCCTCTTTTAAACTAGAGTAACATTAGGAGCAAAGGATAACCTCAAACAACTTTGGGTATAAATAGCATTTATACTGAACTGTAAAGAAATAATTTCAAAAGCAGTAAGGATGTATTCAGAGAGACGTTTTACAGACAGTGAATATGCAAAAGGAAATATGTACAAGATGTTCATTACAGCAGCCTTTACATTAACACCACACTTCAGTCTGGAGATCTAGCAGCATATGGCATTAAAGTTGAAGAGCAGAACATCAGCTCTGGGATATACAGCCAAGACATGACAGTATCACCACAAACAAAACACAAAATAAATCCAAAGACTCTATATCCAAACATGAAATACCCAAAACAGACTAGCCAATAATTTTGAAAGAATCCAATATATTACCACAACCACAAACAGAAAAGTCCAAGGCAGTTTGGATGTTCAGCTTGCCCAAACCATTATGGCTGGCATTTGGAAGTCAATGCAAAAGTAATGTTTTTAGCTGCTTGACCCTGATAGTTTCACAAGGCTTTATAACCCAAGCAACAACCTTTAACACATAAAACAAAATATTCAGGACTAGTTTAGTTTGCTTGGAGACAAATGATCCCAAGCACAAAGCTGGATCTACATGAAAGATAAAAGGCTGAATTTTGCAGAAGGAATTTTGGTTGTGAAGCAAAGTTGGGCTTGGCTGGGCTCACCTGGGAAATAACGAAGTGTAACATTTTCCAACATGGGCAGTGTTGTACAGCCAATTATATCCCTGCAAAGGTCATTTCAGAAGCCAGTTTCATGGCAGGCAGGATAACACCTTTGGAGAGTTGGGCACACCCACTGGTCTATATTTAGTAATATAACAAGTGCAGCTATAGTTAGGATTGAGAACTATTTCCTACCTCATTCCCCCTTTCACATACTTTAAAATTTCTGAAACATTTGCCCTTGGGCTGAAATTTCCTCTGCTTTAATCTCTGCCTGAAGTTCACTTTCTTTGGAAAGGACCAACAAAATTCCTGAAGCCATTATGAAGTACAGCAATAATGAAAACAACTCATTTTTTCCTTCCCAAGCCAGGCAAAATGTTTCTGATATATGTAGATTTTGCTATGGAATTTAGCCATAAATTGAAGCATTTTACCCAGAAACCATCCACACCTTCAACCTCAGCATAAAGGTAACTGTTTTGAAAATCAGGATTTCAGAGGAGGGAGTTTGATTCATCCCATTCCATAACAAGATAACACTTCGTTCTCATTTTGATACATTCCTAGATAATAAAGGTTAACCTCCAAAATACTTTTTATGCAGAGCAAAAGTATTTTACAGACATCCCATTTTTCTGAGTTATACCAGATATCTTTTAAGATCTATACAGCTGAATTTGTGATACTGAAAGGCAGATCTTTACATGCCAAGAATCATGAAGAGAAACAGCAAGATGTTTTTCATAAAATTCACATGTGTATGTGCCCTTGCAAGAGTTTAGATGTATGTGGCATACATTTAATGTGGTTGGAGATAATTTAGAGGGTTTGGATGACACTTCTGGGTGCTTTATGCCACTTTGGCAGCATCCACATTTAATTTATTTTATTTTTTTAAAAAATATGATTATTTGGCTCAGAATTACAGATAGAGGATGATGCAGGCTCTTGATGTGGGATTAAAATAGCTGTATCCATTTTGCTGGATATGTCTTGCTGTCAAGAGATAACATGAGTCTATGGACTCCTGGCTCCTGGAGCCCTTTCTGGAAAAGTGTCTACTGAATCCAATTTTCTGTGTGTTCTCTCTTAAAATTTACTACCAGGCTGTGCTCTGACTTTTCCTGCTGTGGGCCGAGTCTCTGCTATGGCTGAAGTTCTGTCAGCCTCTTGCTGTACCCAATATGTGCAGGGGTGGTAAAGGGACCACCTTTCAGGCATGGAGAATCACCTAACCTGGCCCAAATTATACAGTCTGCCTTCCCAGAATGGCTTCCGCACCCTGAAAAGGTGATCTAACATTATCTGGCTAATCTAGCTCCCATAGAAACACTTCCTGCTCCTTGATATCACATGACAAGCTTTTTCTTCCTTTTCTCTGACCTCCTTGAAGGTAGAAGGAGAGATTGCTGCCAACCAGAGCCAGAGGATGCACAGGCTGTGACAATGTGAAAGCAGAAACATGACCTTCGTCTTGTCCAGGCCACTCTTACCACCTGCTCCAGTTTAGGGGAGATTTGTGATGATTTTGCTTCTTTGTCCTCATTTTTTAGTCCTACCCTGACCTAGTGGGTCCATCCCTGCCCATGGCAGTGGGGTTGGAACCAGATCTTTAACACCTCTTCTAACCCCAACCACTCTACGAGTCTACTCCATGAAGGCATCTTGTAAAGAATCTTCTCAGGCATCCTCTATATAGGAATGCTCCCTTGAAAATGTTGCTCCTTCAAGTTGTCAAAGCACATTGGATTCTGACACAGGATCCTCTCTGGAAACACTATCAATATTTAATCAGTGAAGGCAGGCTTTTTTCCAACAATCTGAAAGGAGGCACAATGAAGCAGGAAAGATAGGCAGTGTTCACTGCTGTCACCTAAAAACAACATCTTGCTTTGCCCTTAGTTTGGTGAAAGAAGGAAAAACTAACAGCTTAAAAAGCCAGCATGACACAAGGCAACTTGCCAAGCAAATCCTCAAATTTAATGAAAAATCATCCATTTTCTACTCCCTTTGTTTCCAGTACCATTTCTCTCTGGCAGTGGTAGCCCACGGCAGTGTCATTATGAAGGACCAAAAAGAACTACTCCAAGAAAAGGGCAGCAAAATTCCTGTCCTCACAGCAGGTCCCACAAAATGGGACAGCTTACTGAAGAGTTCACAGGACAATTTAAGGACAGATAATTGTGTTCATTAGCAGTTTAGGACTAGGAGGATGGCTTTAAACTGAAAGAAAGCAGGTTTAGATTGGATATTAGGAAGACATTGTTCCCTCTGAGGATGGTGAGGCCTGGCACGGACTGCCCAGAGAAACTGTGGTTGCTCCATCCCTGAAAGTGTCCAAGGCCAGGTTGGATGGGGCTTGGAGCAACCTGGGACAGTGGAAGGTGTCCCTGCCCATGGTAGGGGATGGGAACTGCACGATCTTTAACATCCCTTCCAACCCAGACTGTGATTCTACCATTTACAGAAACAAGTCCCAGCCAAACATGAAAATGTGTAAGTACTCCTCAATGAGAGAACAGAGTAGATTAGAATACCAAGACTTCTGAACAGGCACCTCAGCTAGAAATGGTTTCCAGTTAACAATTTACACTAGCGCATAATTTCACAGCTGTAGCATGATGAGAAAGAATAATTTTGGCAGGAGAAAGAAACAGCTGTGATTTTTGAGTGGGCTGAGGCTTAATTTTTATTTGGGATAAAATTTGGAAAGTCTGGGGTAAAATATCTCCAGCGGGCACCTGAGACACCAAAGTTTATTGGGCCAAATCCTACATTGGTTTAAGTTTGCAGTTCTCCTTGCATTAAAGTTAAGCACAATGTCACACTGCAGGCCTGTTGTATCACTTAGAGACGTTAAATCCTGAATTATAAACCCTGTATAAGTCAGTTACAGAACAGCATTTATAAAACTTGAAGTTTCCTTTTCTTGGTGTCCTCTTGTATGTGTGTGGGCAAGTGGTTTAATTACAGCTCATAAAGTGGAATGGCAGACAGAGACATCCAAATCAAAGAGCAAGACCTGGCTGAACTTCATTAGCAAACATAAATGCAAATAGGCACATCTTGTTTGTGACATGCCATGGTCCTTTCCGCCTTGGGTAATTCTACTCTATTCTCTCACATTTGCATAAATGTAAATCAAACCATATGACTTGAGCAGGTTTGTGATAGGGGAATCATATGCAAAACTTCTTTCCATGAAATAATTCTCTTTGTGCGGTCTTACAATGTAACTGTGAAAATCAGGGAGGGTTGGACCTCAGACAGTTGAGAGCCTTTATTTAAGAACAGTGGAGGGAGCCCTGCCCTTTAA